AAAACGCTTGTAACGTTCCCATCCCTTACTTACATTTTCACCTTTATTGAAAAAATGACAAATCTATGTAAGAGAATGATAATAAAAAACCACTCAAATGTAGATTTCTTTATAGGAGCGATTGTCTATACAAGTGCAATACCAGTCTGCATGTTTTCTTCGTTTGTTTTTTTTATCTATTTATTTAATTTTTTTTTGGTGTGCATGTCAACGTACATACACAGGTATGAACATAAAATATATAAAGCTTATCAATATTATCAAACTTGAGTGTTTTCACGGGTGTAGAACTCAGTTATCCATAAACAAAAAAATAAATAAATAAACAAAAAAAAAAACAACTTAATATCTGGCCACAACATGGTTGGACATTTCCATATTTTTTCAGGAATCTTTTTCCCTTAGGAATCCTGAGCAATCAAACAGACAGTTTCTAAGTAGCAGCAGTCTATGTCAGTCTTGGAAGTATCCAAAAAAAAAAAAATAATAATAATAAAATAAATAATAATGAATAAGTAAAATAATAATAATAATAATAATAATGATAATAATAACAAATAAATAATAATAATTATTAAAATACATAACCATTATGGTAAATAACTAATATTATGGAATTTAATATCAATAATAATAGGAATATCAAAACTTAGTTTAATATTAGTAATAATAAAAAAAAAAATACAATAATGATAAAAATTATAAAGTTATAAAAATTAAAATACAGAAGAAAAAGAACCATAAAAATGCCATTAACCAATAAATAAGTAAGTAAATATGATCACCATAACATAATCATAATTATAATAATCATAATGCTGATAATGGTAATGATGATGGGGATGATAAATGATAAAAAAATAATGGTAATAATAAAAATAAATTAATCAATAACAAAAAATAAATAATAATAAAAAATAATAATAATTTAAAAAAATCAAATAAATGACAACAATAATAATAAAGATAACAATAAAAATAATGATGACAATAATAATAATGATAACAATAACAATAATAATAATAATAGTAAATAATAATAAATAATAATAATATTAACAATAATAATAATAATAACAACAATAACAATAATAATGATAATAATAATAAAAAATAATAATAAAAAATTAATATCTTTAATAGCCAAAATCTATCTTACCCATAACAATATAATAATAATTAAAAAGAAAAGAAAAAAAATAAATACTACTACTTCGTACAGGAACTATAGCAGCATCAATAAATAAAGAGGGAAAAAGTTTATGACAAAAAGAAAACTTCCTAATAAGAAATAAATAAACTCCAGGTTAAGAGTGCCCTCTGCACACCAGAAAGGAGGAGGACATTGAGAAACACAGATCCCCAAGTTATAGGATGCATGTCAGTAACTCCATTGCATTGTTTTGATTCCTCCTCAATAAACATTAGATTCTACTACGACAAGCTACAGTATCCATCAAGCAGAAAAAAAAAAAAGTTTTGCAACAAATATGCTTAAAACTTATGCGATACTTTTGCGTATCAGCAATTTATTGCATCCCTGTCTGGTCAGCATTGTACATAACTTCTCAAAGTGTTCTTAGCATAGTACTTTTAACAACTGTATAAAATTCAAAATAGGTATTCTTAAGTAAGTAGATTGCTCATTTCATTTTAAGTTAGCATTTTCTTATAAAATATTGACTGTTGTCTTTTTTCTCTCTCTCGCTCTCTCGCTCGCTCGCTCTCTCTCTCTCTCTTATTTCCTTAAAAAGTTAACAGAACCAGCAAAATTATCCTCACAGCAAAATCCATTCAATAAGTTCATAGGAAACACACTTGCGTAAAAAAAGGGTAAAAAAATGAAGGTGGAAGATTTGTTAAACTCCATTTGAAGCTGTATTATATGGTAAGTCTCAGTACATTAGCATTAAATAATAAAAGATCATAAAAAATATATATGTGTGTGTGTATATATGATCCCATTTCTAGGTCAATAATCTTCATCTCCAGATTGCACAAACCTTTCCATCCTAAGAAAGTTCACATGCTCCTTCAAAACACAAGGAAAAAGGTTTACCAGAAAATTTGAAGTTAAAGACAATAATGATAATCAAGATTGTTAGCTATAATAATGATCATAATCATATTAGTAAAATAATAATAATAATGATAATATTCATAACGATAATAATAATAATAACAATAATAATAATAATGATACCACCAAGAACACCAGCTTTAATTATAATGCTAAAAGGAAAAATAAAGTAAATATATTCAACTTGTGGTCCTGCCTGAGTGCCTACACTGTCATAACTCAACTAGTTGTCCGTCGCCTCAGCTGTTGTCACTCAAAGCCTCAAAGCGATTGGCTGTTGTTAGCTTAGGTGGGGCAAAGTCTTCCTGGACCACTCGAGTTGAACCATGCTTGACACTTTCAAAACCTTCATTGCTGTAAAGGAGATAGAGAAGGGTTAATGATAAACATTAAATAAAATGTTGTAAAACATCCAAACTAGTTTTGTATGTTATCATTCTTAACTTCACTTTTTTTTCTGATACAACTATCTAGCACTCAAAGGTTTTCTTTAACCCAATGGCGCCGGGTGTACAAAAGAAAAAAAAAACTCTACGCTTAAACAAACAAAGGCGGCACGCCGACTTTGAGCACGTGAGTAGGGGACATCAGCCCGAATCACTGGCTCGCCGCCTCGTTCGGCTGCATGCCAGGTTTCGAGCTCTTTGTTTACACGCCGATCGGCGTCACCCGGCACCAAGGGGTTAAAACACTGCTGTAAAAATGCTCAGTTGTTTAACTGTTTCCTCTTAGTTCTTTATGCCACAATATATATATATTTTTTTTCTTCACCCATCATCAAGGGTTTAAAAACATTCAAAACCTTTGTTTTTGTAAGAAAAATGGTCTGTCGGTACCAAAACCAACCAATGCCAACAGGTTCACTTCACTATAGTCTTACGAAATGTCAAAGCCACCCAAGGAGACAATTTAGTAGACTACTTAACCTCAACTGATTTTCTTTTCCTTGAGTTTTCCTGAATTTGCAGCTGGCGTGTAGCACTCGCCACACCACACCATCAAAGTGACGCAATTTTTTTCACATTACTTGTATACAGAACATGATTTTAATGGTTATGCATATTAAGACATGAATGATCATGCCTTTTAGTTCCTAGACTGAAACTGTAGTAGCCTAATTATATACTAGAGTCCATTTCAATAAGTAAGACTTGGTGTACAAAGTGAATGTGAATTTTTATGAAATACAAAATGATATGCAGTGATATACAAGGCTGTTACCCCATGGCTTCAGTGCTTCCTTTATTTGTGTCATATTTCAAGACGGACAAACTAGTAGAATGCCATAAGACAATGCAAGCAGCAGTTGATATGAGGAGACAATCTCAAACAAGAGTGAAGGTTACTCACAGGTTTACATCAACAGCTACAAAGCACCATGTTTTGGTGCATGGCATTTTCCATGAACGGCAAGCAAATCATTTATGTTCTAAAATTTGCCCTTTTTGCAAAACAATAACCAATAAAAACATACATCCCATTCTCCCTCAGGCAATGCCCCAGGACTTGTGGTGTGGGTATGAGGGTTCCTTATAAAGAATAACATAAAGTGTAATGCATGTACCATCATAACATGCCATGAATGATCCTCTCGCATAAGGATATCATTTAAGTAAGCAAACATGGCAAATACTACTAAAGGAGCACTGTCTTTCTTGTAGACCACTATTTCACAAATAAGTGTCAAGACATGAAAGAAGAGGCAGATGTGGGTGCACCCTTCATCAAGCAAGAATAAGGAGTGGTTAATACATTTTTTAACCTGTTACTGCCAGGTCACATGTCTAGCCGTCATAACAAACTGTCTGATCTGCTGGGTACACCTATATGCATGGCAACGCACTAAAGCACATCAAGTGGGAAGTTCCACTATATGTAGCAGACTCCTGCTCTCAACTGCAGGATAGTTGCCAGAAATCACCAGAGTCTATGACATAGATTTCCATAACACACCCTTAAAAAAAAAAAAGAATCTGTGCATCCATATTCAAATTATATTTGGAGAAGAGATAATCAATCTGAACATCAGAATGCTTAACTCCATACCAAGGGGGAAAGCTATAGCTGTCGTGGGAGATTTTAACTATGAGCCAGATATGCCTCTAGAGGTCACAAATCTCTCCTGTACTTACAATGGAGCTTCTCACAGTGGGCTTGCCAGGCCAGACAAGCAGCAAAGAACAGGCAGACTGCTCTAGTAGTTTGCAGAAAAAGATTGCAAATTTTCAACCTAGCATCACTGGGTTAAAATACAAAATTACACAAACATTTACCAATTACTGCAACAGATTTAATAAAAATTATATGCTTAATAAATCTTAGATTTTAACTTTGTCCTACTGTGCATTCGCATCCAAATAATGCTAATCATATGATAAAATCAAGTCCATGGACATGGGTATCTATGCAAGTACACCAAGTCCAAAACATTATGTTATTTGTTGGTGATGAAATGCTCAGTTGGACACCCCTTATGAAACACAGAGCAAGGACTACTCACTTTCCCTTTTTCCTTCCCCATGCTCCCATTGGATTGGCAGCTTGAGCATCTGAGAGTGAAGGGAAGGCCATCTCATTGTTTATATCAGGAGCTACACGACACCGCCTCGGAGCTGCAAGAAAATCATATCACTTACCAATCAGTATGCTATGGTGAGAAGAGATAAGAGAGGGGAAGAAGGGGAGAGAGAAAAAAAGAGGGAAAAGGGGAGGGAGGGAGGGAGAGGGAAAGAGGAAAGAGGAAAAGAGGGAAAGAGGGAAAGAGGGAAAGGGAAAGAGGGAGAATAAGATCATGGACAAACTGACAAACAAAATACATGTGAAAACTAATGCAATGCTACTCTGTTATTAACCCAATTGGCACGGATGGGAAGAATACATGCCATGGCCACTGTAGTACAAGTTTATTTTATCTACACAC